CTGACAAAATATCGGCTTAAATGCATAAAACTTATTTGGCACTTCCTCACTTGGATCATCTGTGGCTCAGGTGTGATACTCATTTAAGGATGCGTCTTCCGTAGAGCAGCTCTCTCTGTTACACTTAATTACTGAAATTGGAAGCTAAGAAGAGATTGGTGGTTTTGGACCATGGGTGTTTCCAGTCGATTTCCTGACATTCTGAAACCAAGTTTTAGATTCTCAGGTAGGATTTAATAGATAGGAAAAGTCATGCAAACAGCCAGAAGAGCTTCATCAATTAAACTAACTAGGGGATGTGTCATACATGAAGTCTCTGTTGGTTTGAGTCACTTGAGGAAGCACAAACTGCAGGATTCTCGAAGTTACTATTATTTATTCCAGGTGAAACATAAGGCCTCTGTAATGTGTCTCTATTGCACTTGGTCCTGTACCTTCACTTTAAACTGTCTCCACGGCCGCCTACGAGCTTTAATTTGCTTCTCACATTACCTTCCCCATGTCACTTTCGGACGCTGAACTCATTGCTACCCATTCGCGTCCCTTTCGATGGCCTGGAGTGTGATGTCACTTGTACGATTTTTTAGTATATGTACAATCCATCTCCATTACCTTCCTCATATGTCTCGTGATAAATAGCTTGTTGACTCATTCTCCTCCTGCCAGAATATCTTCTTACTTATGTCTTTCTAGTGGTCATCTGATCTGGACTTCGGTATAGAGCGAAGGGGACAGGTGTTGGTGAGAGTTTGCAGTAGCCTATTGGAGATGCTTTTGGTGGCCCGTGCACCAGGCCTCTCAACCCTATAGAAGCCATAACTTGTAAATTCGGATCTCGGTCTCTGTCCTAAGTGTTGTTTATTTCCACATTATGAACGCATGTCATTTTCTTCCGATTTTATCCTGGCTTTAACATCCGAATCGCTTGTGGTTGAAACGCTCCACAGTCCAAGTAAACGAAAGAGGTGACTTCCTTTGATTTTTTTTCTTTTGATGCTGGTTGACTAGGTTGTTGGTGTTGACTAGGTGTCTTCATCAGTTGAGCCTTCGGTAGGTTCATTTAAAGTCCTATCTTTGCAGCCTTCTTTGTCAGCTTGTTGGATTTTGCCTGTAGATCTTCAAGTTTATGGGAGACATTAGTAATCCTCGGAGCAGATGTTCTAGGGTCTTTCTGTCAGTCCGACGTATGCTCGTCTGCTCATTCCCCACAAAGACCTTTCCACAGTGCATGAAGTTTTGATAAAGAGTTCATTACTACTTTAAGTTCAGTTTGACGACGAGCAGTGTCGCAATTTAGTTCACTCATGACTTGTTTTCCATGCCGAAGCCTTGTATCCAAGGCATCTTTTAACATTTCGAGGATGGGGTGGTAAGAAACACTATTCCTCGTCTTAAGTTGCCCTTCAGCTGTTTGACAAGATAGCCTTTCTTCCAGTTGGTAGTTACCCTTAGTTTCTTCCACATCTTCAGGCGCTAGTGGTGTCAGCTTGCCCGTGTTCAGTGCTTCTACCGAAACTGACCCTGGTCCTGCTGCTTTCCCAGCTCTTAGTCAATATATGGTCTTCAAAACGTCTACCTTTGTATTGGCGTTCACTGGTGGTTTTGTGTCCGATGGTGATACTTCTGAACGAGTTGCAGATGGTGGTCGATTCAGGAGTCCTTTGAAGTAATTGGCCCAGATATTCCTTTGTTTCACCTCTCATAATTAAGTATACTCCATTATCTTTCACTATATGTTTGTTGATCTCTTGCCCGATATCCACCTGGTTATCTGGTAGTGTTCTTAAGTCTCTCCTACTTGCAACTTGTTCTGCTTCAGTTGCCAGTGTGTCACAAAATCGTCTTTCCTAGAAGAAGATTGAACTCAACTTTTGTTGTCTATCTTTGCACTGGTTCAACTTCTGTTTCACCATCCTCCTCTCTTCTGTTAGCTTTCAGGTGTCCGTAGAACCATTCCTTTTCTTGCTAAAGCGGTTATACGAAATTCCTAACACATCACTTTAAGAAAAATCCACTCTTCTTATACAGTAGTGTCCACGGCAATTTTGTTTAGCGCCTCCGACGCTTTCCACAGAACTTCAGTGAAGGTGTCCTTTTTGACTTCCTCTTACAGTTTCTGGTTAATGAAATTGAGGTTTGTTCTCAAGCGTCATTGAAGACCTTCAACTTTTCCTTAAGGGCCCCTTGAACTGGATGGCAATCTGAGTTTACATCTGATTAGCTTCTGGGTATTGTTTCCAGTAGCCTGCTTCTCTAGTTTCTTGAGATGGAGTTCAAATCTCATTTTTGTTGTGTTCATGTGATGAAACTTCTGTATATCCTTGTGCTCGTACAAGTTGCCTCTATTTTCTAAACCACTAATCCCGTAGAAGTCTTCAAATCCTTTTCCATTCCCGATAATTTCACCAAGCGACTTTCGACACATAATCATTTCTCTTCCTCTACCATCTGCTCCCATTTGTCTCATATCTCCCATTAGAATTTTCATGTCACCATCCAACTTGGGCCTCGTTCATTGCTGCTTGCACTTGGCACTAGAAAGTCTTGTGGACTGCTTCTGTGTCGTTTATAGGAGCGTAGCACGAGTGTAAATTCTTTACCTTTGAGTTGAATCTTCATGTCATGACCCTGGGGAAGACTTGCTCCTAATGCATAATAGCTTTCTATGCTGTTGGTAACATGATAGTTATTGCTTCAATGCATACACGGGTATTCTAAGAGGTGCAGTAATCTCATACCTTAACTCATTAACCGATGAATCAAGGCGAAATTGCAGACGTCTCAGTCGTCATCATGTTAGACAAGATTTTTTGTTAGGAGATGGTGCTTGCTAGGAATAGATGATTTTCTCAACAAAGTTGTGAGAGGTGCGACAGAATATTGACCATATGTGTTTGTTCAGATACTTTCTTATACAATTCGTTTTTATCTCAGTCATGCTTATTTGACATTTTGATAATCGACGGATCCATTTAGTGTGACAGGTTTATGTCACTAGGCTGCTGTTGGGATTGTTATAGCGTGTTATCATGATACATCGTATTTGTCGTTACCTATTAACATGCAAAACCGCCAACATTTCCATACATTTGGGAATAAACCACACCTATTGTGTGAGGATTAATGGTACTAACTGGCTTTCCAAACGCTGGCAGGTGGAAACACTTCGAATACACAAGCCAGGCTTAAGTTTCTCTTCTTTGACAGCTTGACAAGGAAGCCTTTCCTTTATCTTACAATGGTTATAATTTGAGTGCCTAAACTTGTTAGCCCCAGTTCCACCGGATTCGCTTTGTCACAGTGAGACTGTACACCATTCTGTTCTTGCCAAAGATCAGGGTGGTTGTGTCCGGTTCCCATGAAAACCAATGTATTAAAAGCATACTGAAGAATTTATATGAGCAGTAATTGCACTTAGTAGTTGGGAATGGTTTTAGGATGTTAGTCCGTGTACGTTTTCAAGAAACTACCGACTATTAATCTTTAGGAATACATAAAACAGGTCCACCTAAAATAAAAGTAAATTTCTTATAGCTATTTTTGCTCGAACATTTTCCATGAATTGAATATAAAGATAAATTTAAAAAAATGTTAATTCAGTGTATGGTTTCAGTTGTTACATTTATTCACCGAGTTTAAACAGTAGAGTTTTTTTTGATTTTTTTAATTTTGATTTTTAATTTACAGCCTAATTCCACACTGTATTTTTGGTACAAGTATGGAATTTTCAGCATGGATATCGGTAGCCCAAATTTTGCAGGCCGACCATTGGTATCAGGTGTGCGTCGGGAGAGGATCGAACCTCGGACCATATGCATGGTTGGCGCGAGTCCTAGCCACCGACGCCACGACGCCAACTTGTGATCCACAGTTTCTAACCTCATCCAATCTGTCAAGGTTCAGACAGTTATAGATAGGCTATGATCAACTGGCATACACTATAAGTGCCTAATTACAGATCGAAAATGTATGCTTTGTTGTGAGACTTGGCCATTGAAAGGCCTGAAGACACTGTCTATCTTTGATCACATATGTTTGCTTTCTAACTCCCGCGTCAGGTGACTTAATAGGATTGAGGTTAGGTGTAATGTCAGCTAGATAAGGCGATTCAGTCGATGAGGTTGTGAAGCTGCATCGATTGAGATAGACAAGACGCATGTTATTCATACCGAACCACCGCCTTCTTCATTGAACAATGCTAGCGGGTTGGGAAAGAGTTAAAGGTGGTCAAATAAAAACATGCCATCAATACCTGAAGTGTTTGATAGTTGGTTTAAGTCAAATAGTTAGGTATAAACTATCTAGATGGGGTCGTTGCCATTCTAGGAACCCTGTTGGTGAAATGGTTCAAAATTGTTCTCAATGGCGCAGATGTATTCACTAGTTGTAATATTCCAGATTCATTAAATCCTCATGCTTTTCCATGTTACTATGCTTTCTTCCGTACACTTTCTGTTCTTTTCAATTCTTTCTACCTTTATGTGCTACATGGTACGTGGCAACTTAGATTGACTCACTTCTGTGCACAGTTCCACGTTGAAGCTTACTCAGAAAGTCAGTATACTCTATTGAATGTTATATACATTAAAAAAATAAGTGGACATTTCAACTTTATTAATTATAATACAGAAGTTTTGATGTTATTATTTATCTTTTATCAGTCTAATCATAAACATTTAATTCTTTTTTTTTTATTCCTTTATGTTCCCCGTGGAACATAGGGAGGGCTTCAAGCTAGAGCTTTGAAGTTTCATTAGCAGTGGTATTTATTTTACAGGACGGGGTTACTAGTCTTATGTTCAACCATCTCTCTTTACCAGTCGTATTGTTGGCTTAGCTAGGTAAAAGAGTGCATCGGCCGGGGATCGAATCCCGAACCACTTGCGTGGTTGGTCAGCATTCTGCCCCTGCATCACCGACGCAAAAACATTTAATTCAGATTATATATATATATATATATATTACATTTCTTCCTGTGTTGTTCTTATATCTTCCTGCAGTGAAAAGGCGAAATACTTCATATCAGGATTGAGGTTTTCCCTTACTCTACCTTCGAGTAAATCTTCTCAAGAGTATGACTACACTATACAAAAAGATGTAAGTGATTATTATTATGTATAAATAAGTGTATTGTATGACATGCTGTATTTTTTGTGTACTTTCTCGTGTACTAATAGAGGTCTAGTTTATTAAGCAGGGTATTCGATACTCAAACGATCAGTTATGCTATCCAAAGTATGCTCGCTGAGCAAGGCTTTACATATTAGATATAACTTGTTATCTAGTTTGCTATTCTATATTTCATGCATTCCATACACATTATTATGCTGCAATTCTGTATTGTACATTTAGTGCTTTAAGAACATTATTGCCTAGCTGAATAAGTTTGCCTCATTACAATCACAGAATAATTAAGTTTAGCATAATCCAATAAATATTATTTTCATACATTTATTCCCCTTAATGAATTTGAACAAAGCAAAAACTACAGTTTTAGCAGAATAAAATGGTACCATCTTTTATTTCGTTGCCTTCTCGTCAGCTGCTTACATGGCAAAGACATTATTAAATATATCTATTATATGTTAAAATTGTTGTTGTAGATATATTTAATAATGTCTTTGCCATGTAAGCAGCTGACGAGAAGGCAACGAAATTAAAGATGGTACCATTTTATTCTGCTAAAACTGTAGTTTTTGCTTTGTTCAAATATTATTTTATTCCTGAAACTGTTAGTTAATATGTACTAACCAATATAATAACTGAATGGCTTTAACATAGAACTGTTGCACTTTCGTGCAACAGTTCGAGTTGCCACACCATAAAACACAAAGGAAGACAAAAGAGAAAAGATTTGGAAAGACAGTAATAAGCAGAAATGTTAGGGAGAAAGAATATTAACTTGTAAAAACTACAGGATTACAGAGAGTGAATGCATCTGCACCAGAGGGAATGATTTTCAGCCATATCACCCAATTGTCTTCAACCTTCATTGGCTATTAGCATCCCAAAGACCCCAAACAGGTAGTTTATGCCCCTCTACGTCGCTCAAACTGACTGTTAAAGATTTTGTGGACTGACTTCATGTTTTCGTTTGACGACGACTAACTCCTTTCCGACCCGATCTTATGTCAGCTAACATTACCCGTCAGGGAAGGCGGTAGATGGCTACGCATGTGTAACACGTATCTTCGCTATCTCAGTTGATGTAGCTTCCCAACCTTATCGATAAATTTCTCCTCCTTGCCTAGCCTCAATATAATTCATCCTAATATACCATTTGACATGGCAGACAGAACTCAGACATGTATGATCAAAGACAACTAACCTTTTCATATCTCCTACTTTCAATGGTCATGTCTCACAGCCGTAAATGAAGACAGAACAAGCTGCTAAGCAGTACACACGTCTTTTGGTCGATAGGCAGCCTGATATCACGTCTACGCCTGAGATGGCGTAAGTTGGCGAATCCCACACGAGACTTCTGTATCCATGGTGAGATTTCGTTAGCTATCAGCCTGCCGTAACTGATGCAACTTTCCAAATAAGTAATGCGGTTAACATGCTCAGCCACCAATTCACTCCCTATCTTTAAGCTAGGAGTTAATGTAATCCGGTCCTGTGGCATTGTCTCAGATTTGAAGAAGTGATCGAATCGCATGCCAAACATTCGAAGATTGCTGCTCAAGGTTTTCAGAAGACTACATGTTTTCAGTGTCTTCACCCACAAGAACGATACCATTCTCATATTCTAAGTCAATCAAAATAATGATCTGAATTGTAATGTTGATCAAATTATATTTATCGTATGATTTAAATTACTTGGTAAAAGATATATATGGAGACATGACTCAATGGCTTCAACAGCTGCAGGTGTTGGGTTTGAATCCTGCCATACCTACTACTTCATCTTGAGGTCAACTAGTTAATAATATCAGTTCGCATACAATAAGCGTAGCGCACATAGTCTGGTACATAAAAGGGTCCTGTCCTGGGTTACTCAGCCCAGCAAGTAAAGGGGGATATGCCCACTCTCACATTTTCCTTTCTGTTAATGACTTCTTTTACCCAACCGAAACATGAATTATATGTATATGTATGTATATTTCTGAGATTGTGTTACCACCTGGACATGAGGTTATACTAGATTTTCTTTTCAATGTAATTTATTCAGCATGTTAATCAGTGCCAAATGAAAACAACCTTTCCTAAAGGGATTGATCACAACTTAAACGGTGTGTGCATTGACAATCCACAGTCATCATATGCTGAGTTGTCAACCCCTGACTCATCTACAATAAGCCAGAACTATTCGTCAGATTCACTTTTAAATCGTATGTCAGGTAAGTAAACTTTTTTAAATATTACCTTAATTCTTACATTACAAAGGTGTTATTTGTATTTTCTAACTGAATGCACATAGTTTAGATGTCATCAGTTTTATCATCATGCATATTTTTCAATACACATCAACACAATTGACTTAGTTACAAAATGGCTTTCCATTTTTTATGGATTCTGAGTGTATGAGTGAGGAGAATGCTTTGTTGACTTAACTATTGAGTCTCAAGTGTAAATCTCGATTCAATCCATTTCAGCTGGAGTAGTCCAGTAGTATTGTAAGACCTCACAGGTTATATATAGTTAACTAGCTAGTTCACAGTCTTGCACGAGATTGATAGCTTTATTTCTTAATGCGAAGATTTTGTTATGGATGTGCAGAATTGAAAAACAAAATTATAGAACGTTCATTCATGAATGTTCTGAAATTTTCCATCAGTTACTGTAGAGGTTGTTGTTTAAACTCAACTGCGTAGAAAAGATCTTTTGCACACCAGACTACATGCCACACTTTATGTGTGAAGACTGATGATAGTAACCATTTCCCACTTGGCTTTAGTAGGTGATGTTGGGATTCAAACCCCGGGACCTATTAACCAAAATCAACCCTTTAAGCCAATGAGTCACATTTCCACTATCGATGTAGAGTTTCATGCACAAGGTGTATTGTTTTCTGAATTATATTGGTAAAACGAACTATTAATTGCAGTTTTCCATATGACCATATTTCACACAGGAAGATGTAATATAAGCCACCAAAAGGCATTATACAGCTCATGACAGAAATGATTCAGTTACTTAGTTGATATCTACGAGACTGTTCATATGTGTAATTGGATGGCATATATGTAGAATCGTTTACAATAACACAGATATCTCTGTTCGCAGCCAATCTTCATGTTAGCTGAAGCATTCGATTTCCTCGCTCACTTATCCCTTTCTCACTTTCTCCTTATGATGTCATAGGATTTTCGTGTACTGTTTTTAACTATCTACCATCCTGGTATTTATCGTTGATAATATTTCTCTCCCTTTGTATATAATTAAAATTTATTGTTTTAGTAACCTGTAATGGATCGTGTGGAAAATCTGTGTCTACATTTATCCCTGTAAGTAACTATATTCAGTGTGTTAAGATTATTATTAATATTGTTACTTTTCAAACTATATATGCATTGCTGTTACTACCGTTATGAATAATTCGTCTCTACTGCATATTACTTTTCCTAGTTTATCTGTTTCCCTACTAACAATAACCACATATTCCACATACATACACCTTAGCTGGTGAAAATGTGGCTCTTTAATTCCTTCATTCAGGTGCATATAATTAAATTTTTGATGGTTGGACTCTCTGGAATAGTCTTGGATTATACAGATGGCTATTGAGTTAATGGGTGGTGATGATGATTATTTGAATGTGTAACAACAATCTGGGTAGCGATGGGATTCGAGGGAGTAGTCTTCGAATTACTTCAGGATACAAGACTGGCAGTCTGCCAACCCAAGGCTATTTCAGTTTTATTATTCAGTTATTTATTTATTTATTTCAACACAAACTTTGTGCAATTTGAGCACCAACAGATGTGCCACGCAAAAATAAAACAACAATTTCAGGGAGATAGGAATAGAGTAAGTGCAGGACAATATCCAAGGAGCAAGTAAGCATACTTGTCGAGAGCATTGAAAAGGATGCTTTAGTGCTGTATGTTACTTTCAGAAAGGGTGGAAAGGAGGAAGTTGCAGTGTGGTTGGTATTGATTACGATTCTCGGATATATCTGGTGACGTCTTGAGCTACTAATTCGAATAGCCTCTCAGACTCCACCCAGAGAGTTGTGGTGTGCTAACACATGCTAGTCTAACACTAATCTCCTTGATCCAACGGCGCCATAACATAACCTGGTCAGTCATATGCTTTTTCCATCCAGTCCCAGGGCTAGAGAACATCGAGTGGTATGAGAGCCACTGGAATGACATTCGTAGCACCTTCCCAAGCCTCCGAAGCCGGTGCTTTCAGATAACAACACTTTTTGGAAGTCGATTTCCTTGAGTCTAAATACACACTGTCTGACCTCAGAATTATGTTGTGATTTCACCGGATGCAAGCAGTTCTACGAAGGTGAAGATAATTGAACACAGAGTCTCCACACATCCCCAATTCAGAGCGATCAAGTTCAACAGGACTTGTCCTACTATAACATTGTAAAGCCTACCTTTCACATCCAGGCTAACGTCGCGACGGTGCCAGAGGTGACCCAGGTTAAAGATCTCACCTGTCCAACCATCGCTCACACAACCACCTGGATACACTAACTCTTCGTTAACTTCAAGGTGTTCACCTTCGAAGGTGAGTACCGGTACATACTCTGCAAATCTCGCAACAGCACTCCGAACAATTAAGTGCTATTTGGGAAGCCTTTATGTTATTTCATAGTACACGATATCGTCTTCATAGTCGTGCTCAAGAATTCTCCAGACAGTAGGTATGTACGTTTGCCAGAACTGTCTCCAGCATGTAAAGGTGAAAAGGAAACGGAGATCGAATAACCTTTTCTAACTCCATTTTTAGTAGAGAACTGGGGTGATGACTGTTAGTATGTTCCCTCACTGTACTGGAGATGTAATCCCCACTAACACCACCTAAATGACTATTCTCTAAGCCTAAACGCCGGACCTGTGTATTCAAGATCCCAGGTAGCACTGCAATATCAGTTGTAAGTAGATGATTCAAAAGCCCCCCCCCAGTTGAAAGTAGAATTTATTCCTATCTTCATAAAGACTACAATTCGGTGGTGCATAGGTGCAGATGGAGCTCTTCTGACCAGTTTTTTAAACCTTGGTATTACTTTCTAGTCTTATATAAACCGTTGTTAATTGAAACTCAGTCAAACAGTGTAGCTTTGGTTCTAGCGCTCAGTGTGACACCGACAACAACAAAGCCGGATGTCGATGTCAAAGGATTTCCGGATAGGGGCATGTGGTACATGCTTTTTGAACTTGCACTTTGAGAGAATATTCAAAGCACTTCACTGAAATATTGTATTTTCGTCTCAGACATGCGACAAACGTTACCAGCAAAAGTCCCCCATTCACCATTGTTTCATTATTTTCGTGAAGGCTGAGATGGCATTTGGATGCCCAGACCGAGGGAGGTACATGTCTCAAGGGATCAGTCTCCGAGTCTTTGACTTCAAGTCTGATCAACAAGGCAGTATAACGGCATTGGAGCCTGTGTTACCATGGTTGCCGATATCCAAAATTGGTTCGTAAACCGTTTGACCCTTTCGGATTTCGGAGTCCAAGTGTATTGTATGTTAGGAATCGTGGTTCTGCTGCCTTCTTTGTGAAAATTCATTTCCATCAGTCCGATTATAAACGCACAATATTCACTTCGCCACCGTGAGAACATCCTCGCCGCGCGAAGGCAGTTATTAGGACTTACTTGTTCGAGACTGTGAATACCTAACCACATTCTAGCATTTTTAGAAGGCAGGAATCAGCCTATCTGCAGCCATACTAGGTCATTTATGGATCTATGTCAGATAATTTAATCATCAGTTAACAGTTTACTTCTCTCCTAACTGAGTACATTATTAGAATTGACAGATAACTCGGTTGTCCAGCTAACTTAGTGATGTTAAACTGAAACTAATGTGATGAAGTGTGAATGAACAATTGGGTGATGTAGTGCTGTTTTATAGTCAACATAATACAAGTGTCACTGAGGTGAGAGATATGCGATAACCATAAAATACATACATGCACACATTAACAAAGAGGACACTGAATGTGACGGCTGACCAATAATGTTTAATGATAAAATAAAGAGGCTAAATTGTAAATTGTAATAAGATGTTACATGTTTCGTAGGCTTAGTATAAAATCATAAAGGTTGACAAAAAGTAAGGGTAACAGTGAGGTGAAATAAACTGGGTGGTGGAATGGATAATAAAGACATGATATCACAAAATGATAATGACAGTATGAAAAATTATGATCCTGGTGACCTTATAGTGGGCCAGGGCAGACAGAGAGAATGAATAAGTCTCTTCTCTACACGTAGGTCTGGTCTCTCCCTATTAATCGCTATAGCCTCAGCTATGGACAGGAGGCGTAAGTGTGCCTCTGGGGAGATTATTCGGTACTCGATACACGAATGTAAATGGCTCATCTACTTTGATGCTGTGTTCGCTCTCCACTAGATGAGATAGAATTGCACTATTTAATGATTTGGTTGCTCTTTTCCCAAGCCAAACAGGAATATGTCCACGAGTGCGTAAACATAAATTCCTTTGGGTACGACCTATATAACTAGCTCCACAGGAGCAGTAGAATTTGTATAAACACATTGATGTCGCCATTTTGGCTAATCTATCTTTAATGCCCAGTGTCAATATCAGTTTGTTTGAGAAACTGACATGCAGTTTTGCGGCATTAAAAGTTCTTTGAATTGCTCTCGTTAATCTACGGTTTAATATATCGGTGGATATATCTCCATTGAATTGTACATTTAAGCAAAGCTTTTTCTCACAGTGTCTCGCTTAGTTTTATGTGTGGTTACATAGATATACTTCGAATATATATATATATATATATATATATATATATATATATATATATATATATATATATATATATATATATATACAACGAATTAGGTTGCGCTTATATTGTATAGGTGTGAAGCTATGGAATTGGGTGTATTGTCCATCCCACGTCGCTTTTTTATAGATGTGTCTCTTTAAGGTACCATCTGTTCTTTTTATAAGAAGAACATCCAGAAATGGAATACTACCTTGGAGTTCCTCTTCACAAGTGAATTTAATAGCTGGGTGTACCTTATTGAAGACTTGGAGCATTTTAGTAGTAATTCTTTCAATTTTCATGGTGTGATCCCAATTTCTATTTTCTTTTCTACGAGTTGCTCGCATATGTAGTCGACAGTTTCTTCAAGGGGGACGTTGGTGCGTTGGTGGCACAGTGGTTAGGACTCTCGTCGACCATGCACATGGTCCGGGGTTCGAGCCCACGTCGACGCACACCTGATATCTATGGTCGGCCTGCGAAATTTGGGCTAACGATATCCATGCTGAAAATTCCATACTTGTACCAAAAATACGGTGTGGAATCAAGCTGTAATCAAAAAAAAAAAAATAGTGATGTTACGTCCAACGATAACATAGTTTTGTCTGCTAGGTTCATATCTTTAGTGTTTTCAACAAAGTTAAAGACGTCTTTTACACTATATCCAACTAACTAGCAATGTAGCGGTTACTTACTTACTTTACTTTACTTCGGCTATCTCCTACGGGAGGATGAGCCGGCTTCATGAACGAGTTCATGAAGTTTCTTGGGAATTTGGTACGAGTGATGTCCCCAGCATCGCTCGGCCTTTTGTTTGAGAGTGCAGCTCTAGCCTTTACACAGCCAAGTGTGACCTACAAGGCAGTAGGAGTGGAGTAGGGAGTCCACTATCCATTGGCAGCCGGTCACCGGAGTTCGGTTCATACGCCTTTTTGAATGGGGCCAGACATCCAGGACATCCAACAAGCCCTTTGTCCATACGTGTGCCGGTGAGCTTCATACGCCAGTCGTTGAAGGTTTGGAATCAGGGTTTAGCCATCTCCCCTAGACTGTCATCCAATGGACAGTCAACCCGGTGGAGAGCGCCGGGCATCCGCTTTTGCCCTCTCGCTTTAGTGAGAAACACCTCCGCCACGTGAAGGCAGTGAGTAGGACTTCCTCAGGAGAGGCTATGTAAGACGCACGGTCATATGGGAGCATTTCAAGAGGTGTGCGGAGGGGTGGCCAACCCTCAGCGCAAGACACCCACCCCCGACCATCCTGAGGCTTTGGAGGCAATGAAATGTAGCGGTTCTAACAGATTTACTAACCATTTGGCAGTTAAATGAAAGGGCGAGTTCGACATGTTCAGAATTGGTCGTAGGGGAATTTCCTGCTTATCTATCTTGGGTAAGCCATAAAGTCTAGGTGTATGAGTTCCGGTGGGCTTAATCGCGTTGAAGATGGAACTATTGATTAGATTTTCATTTTTTAAGGCCTTCAAAGTCTTAACGAACTGAGGTTCTGTTGCTTCATTCAAATGTTTACTGTTACCCAACTTTCGAAACTTGAAACTATCTTCCAATAGGGTGTTCATCTTATGAATGTAGTCGGATTTTTGTTTAAAATTACTGTACCTGATACTTTGTCCGGTTTCGTTATAATAATGCTGTCATCAGACCTTAGTTTACCGAGACATTCTCTATCCTTCTTAGTTAATATACTTTTCTTGTCGATCTTGGCATTATTGAATTGGTGATAACAATCAACCAAGGTACTCTTAAATTTATCTAACTCGTGTTTGGAGGACAGTGTTAGGTCTAGTGTCTGAATGAAGAGGTTTTCAAACTGTACTTCTGTCTGTAATTGCTCAGTATTAAGTGTTTCGTCGCAAAATTTAGGGCCCAAATACAACACTTCCATGGCAGTCTTATGTAAAGTCACACTGGAAAAGTTGAAGACGTACCTTTCAGGGTCCTTGCGAAAATAGTATTCTGATATTTCCGTGTCTGATCCTTTTGTAAGCGGGATTCTTTTTCACATTTAGTGTCCCCTTTGTTAATATGTGTTTGTATGTATTTTGTGGTTATCGCATTTCTCTCACCCCAATGAAACTTGTATTCTGTTGACTATAAAACAGCACTATATCATCCAATTGTTCATTCACACCTCATCACATTTTTTCTGACCATACACCCTATACAAATTTGATTGATTATGTTAACTAATGGACTATCTCATCTCAACTTACACATGCACCCCAATACAGTTTCTGATATTATTTTCATTTGCCTTTATTGGCTATATGTACTCTATTATTCATGGATTTATAACTGTAGAGCCCTGAGAAGTTGTCGAAACCACAATTGTTCGCTCAAAATCTTGTTTTGATTTCAATATGGAGATTTTTCATTTACTGAAACTAATGTATCCGCCATTCTCATGGACAGTTGGGCAACACATGTGATGATTACAGTGAAATGACAACTTGGTTAAAGGTTGAATCTTATAGCTCAACTAGTTGAGCGTCGAACTAATAACTCTGAGGACGTTCATTGGTTATGGATATGATTAGTAGGTTATCACTTGTGTTAAGCAGTAGTGCTTGTTAGGTAGATTGAAGTGATTTAAACACTGTAGCCGTTTAACACTGCGGAGCTCATCAACAGTGTAACTCAACTCAGATAGCTAAATCCGTTTAAAACATCCAAATTCCGGCTGGCTCGTTATGTCAACTAGCAATACATAGTGTCAGGTTCGTTATATGCAGATTATGCTGTTCAGGGTAAAAGCTCACCACAGTTTCCTTTGGGAGCAAAGAAATTTTCAAGATCACAGTATGTTATCCGCTTCATACGATAAAGAATAATGAAGAAAGCAAGTGATGTAAAATTATGCTATATACTATCGATAGATATGGACAGTTGGAAAAATACTCATGTCAAACAGTAGTTCTTACTTTTCATCATTTTGCTTTTCGAGTGCAATATAGAGGGCTTCAAGTCTTAAGCTTTGAAGTGTCAGTGGCTCTTGTTTCGTCTTTTACTGAGTGGAATTTTCAGCCTCCCTTCCGAACTTTCTACCGGTTGTCGAACCCTGAGCATTCTACACCTGAAGTACCGACACACTTCAAGCAGTAGTATGCTTAATGAAAAAAGTGTGCGCACACTGTGATTTTACATTTACAAACGTCTACTGAATAGTGTTTGGTTACAAAAAAATAACATTTTTCTCATCCTTGTTCCAACAGTTATAGATCAATATTTGTTTTTAAACTTCTTTTACTTTTAGTTGAATGTTTCCACCGGAAGTCGAGAAAATCACTTTTCTCAATCTATCACATCATTAACTACTGCCGTACTAAACAACGGCAATAATAATAATAATAACAGTAATATTCATGTTCATCAAAGGAAATACAGCCACGGACTAGATTCTGCATGTAATAATATGATGAATTGTACAGACTCAACAATTTCAATTCATCCAAAAGTAGTAAACAGTTGTAATAATGACAAGGATAAAAGTCAGCGTAACACTCTGACCCCGTTATCATCATCATCCCTGTCACCATCATCGTTATTGCCGTCAGCGCATTTACTAGTGAAAAACACAAATTGTTCATCTGATAAAATTGTTAAATCTACTCAAGAAGAAGATCAAGTACTGGCATGTGAAAGTAATTCATTTCACAGTAAACTGGATTCATCACCTAATCACCTACTTTCATCTGATTCAGTATATTTGCCAGTAGATTTATCAAAAATAGAGCGAATACTAATGATAATAAAGTACAAAAATTGTCAGGAAAGAAAATAGTGGGAAAGCCGTATACTACAGAAAAACGTGAATCGTTAATATTATCACCAAATGATACATTATTGTCTTCAAGGAATTTTATTCCGTTAAATAAGTGAGTTATTATTATTGTTATGTCTGTAATGACTTTGGTTAATGAACGTCCTTGTTAGTATATATATAAATATGCATTTTCATACCTAATTAATGAGCAGTGGTGTATTATTGACCAAAAGATCCCTTGGGATGGAACAGATGAGATATAATGTGTTTCTTGATATTAGGGCTGCCTTCGATTCGTTGGACAGAACTGTGCTCTGTTAGAGAGAGGTGTACCTGAGAAATTTGTTAACATCTTGAAAGCCCTATACAGAAACACCTCGGGTAGAGTGAGGGCATACAACCAACTGTCATCACTGTTCCCAACCAACAGTGGGGTTAGACAGGGTTGCCCAATCTCTCCATTTATCTTTATCTTTGTCATCGATGACTTCCTGGAGTCAGCTCTGAAGGATGTGCGTGAAGGTGGTGTTGATCTGCTACCTGGAGATAGACTTTTCGACCTCGAGTATGCAGACGATATCTTCTTACTGTGCGATAGCATGGAGGCTGTCCAAATCGCACTTAATCAGTTGGCGATTAGTGTCTGTAAGTATGGTATGTGTTTTCGCCGTCTAAGTGCAAAGTACTGTTACAAGATTGGCAGGAGCCTGTACCTGCACTCACTCTTTTGGGTGAACCGCTTGAAGTTGTTGATAAGTTTGTGTACCTGGGTAGTTGTGTGAGTGCTGGCGGAGGGGTAACTAATGAGATTTCCAACCGTATAATGAAGGCTAGGGTGGCATACATCAACTTGAGCCACCTCTGGCGCCGTGCGACGTTAGCCTGACTGTCAAAGGTCGGGTGTACAATGATTTCGTGCGGGTTGTCCTGCTCTACGCCTGTGAAACCTCGCCTCTCCGAGCTGAGGATGTGCGGCGACTCTGCGTGTTCGATCACCACTGTCTCCGCAGGATTGCTAACGTTCGATGGCATCATCGCGTGAGTAATTCTGAGGTTCGGCGGCGTGTGTTTGAACACAGTGGAGATCACCGTCCATTCACTGTCGTCATCTGAAAGCACTGGATCCGGTGGCTTGGATATGTGCTCCGAATGTCATCCCAGAGGCTTCCGTACAGGTCTCTGTTCGCTAGCCAGCCATGGGACGGGATGGAAAAGGCGGAGAGGTGGTCAGTCCATTACGTGGCGTCGTGGGATGAAGGATTTTTGTGCACGATTGGCATCGGTTGGTGTGTCACGACTCCCTGGTTAGGGTCCGAGAGATAGCTCAAATCGATGACTCGAAACGTTATCGGATATGGCCAAGAATCGTAATCAATGTCGAATGTGTTGCAATTTTCTTCTTTCTTCCCTTTCCGATGATAGTTAACGAATACTGTTTGAACAAAAACAGGCCGCGTGTGACCGGCCTCAAGCAGTTGTCCCCTGGGCTCTGCGGTCACGCAACCAACTTCCACGGTGTGGGCAGCCGGGAAGTAACAATCGCCCTCACAATCCGAAACGCACACAAAACCTCTCTAATACTCACTTATCTTTGTCTTCATCTTCATCTCTATCATCTTGCCTTCCTTCCACTGATGCAACTCCTCTACTTGATGGCTCCTCACTCCCTCTTCACTCTGTGTCCACTAAAAACGACGAAAGCCAAAAAACCACCACGGATAGTCTCCTAAAGCCACGCCACCAATTTCATATAGGAGCATTTAATGTTAGGACACTTTGCCAAATAGGACAACAAGCATCACTAGCTAAGACCCTGGCATCTCGAGCCATTGATGTATGTTGTGTTTCAGAAACACGCATACAAGACCCAAGTGTGGTTATTCACCTAACCCCACCTGGCCAACAGGATGAATCTTCAAAATTCACCTTGAGGGTGTCAGGAGATGCCACAGCTAGTTCACGGGATTAGCTGGCGTAGGGATAGCTCTGAGTACTAGGGCAGAAAAGACATTGCTTGACTGGATCCCAGTAGATAGCCGAATGTGTGCTGTCCGTCTGAACGGATCAGTAAGAAGGAGAAAGGACTGCACTACTCGCCGATGCCTTTTCGTAATCTCCGCCTACGCCCCCACTGACTGCAGTTCGGATGAAACGAAGGATGAGTTCTACCAAAAGCTGTCTAGTTTGGTGAGAAAGGCTAAACGCTCAGATATAGTCGTTCTAGCTGGTGACTTTAACGCTCAAGTAGGGAAATTGTGTCAATCTGAGAAGGATGTCGGTGGCACCTATGGAGTTCCGTGCCAGCGAACCGACAACGGTGACCGTCTCCTACAGTTCTGTTCAGATAATCATTTGTTTCTTGTAAGCACTAACTTTAAACACAAGGAGAGACACTGTTTAACCTGGCGACCCCCATCATCAAACCAACGCTGGACACAAATAGACCACATAGCAATAAGCTATCGTTGGCGTGGGTCGGTAGGAGATTGTCGCTCCTTCTGGAACACGTGTGTAGATACCGATCACGCACTGGTCCGGGCTCGTGTGTGCTTACGACTGAACGGACGTAGGAAACAGCTGGCGGTAAAACCATTACGCCCCCAGCTCGATCAGGAAACTAAATCCCTATTTGAGGAAGAACTAGCTAAACGCATATCTGAATCCGACAGCTGTGCTCACCCTGGAGAAGCCTGGAAGAATATTCAGTCAGCTATAGATACAGCTGTAAAAGCTGTGAATAAGACAAATCCAAAGGTGAGTAAAAACCACTGGATTTCGACTGCCTCATCCGAACTGATAGATGCTAGAAGACTTATTCCGGCGAGCTCCGAATTCAATGAGGAGCGAAAGCTGCACAAAAGGAAACTTACTAAAAGTCTCCGCAAGGACCGTGAACAGTGGTGGGTGACAAAGGCGAAAGAGATGGAAAAAGCATTGGCGATAGGCAACACTAGGCAACTCTTTAGACTCATCACAGAATCGGGCGGGAAAAGGCAATTCATAAGTGAGACTATTTCTGAGAAAAATGGCTCCTTAATTAGCTCTCAGGATAGACGCCTTGAACGCTGGAAAGAACACTTTGAGGAACAATTTAACTTGCCTACAGCCACACTGAACCTCCCCGCCATCCACCACGTACCCGAATGGGATATAGACACTGGTCCGCCGTCTGTAGGTGAGGTTACAAAAGCTATCAGTAATTTGAAACGAGGCAAAGCGGCAGGACCCGACGGAATTATTCCGGAGGTGTTTAAATATGGGGGTGACATACTAGTTTGTAGATTAACTGAGGTACTAGGCAAAGTCTGGGAATCAGAGACAGTACCATCAGACTGGGGTAAGTCACTCATTATACCGATATTCAAGAAGGGAAACAAGTCCTCGTGTGATAATCATAGGGGGATCAGCCTAACGAACATAGTCTCTAAAATCCTAGGCTCAGTAATCATGCATAGACTAAGCAGAACTCGGGAGGAACAGACAAGGGAAAATCAAGCAGGCTTTAGACCAGGTAGAGGGTGCATAGATCATATCTTCACTCTTCGACAGATTCTAGAACATAGACACACTTTTCGGCGTCCAACAATTGTCATATTTCTTGACTTGAAGGCGGCCTTCGACTCCGTGGACCGAAAAGTACTATGGCAATGTCTGACTGTGAAGGGAGTGCCAAGAAAGTACATTGCACTAATCAAGGCACTCTATTCAAACTCACGTAGTCGTGTAAGGGCTTATGGGGAATTGTCATCTGAATTAGTAACAACCAGTGGTGTCCGACAGGGATGTCCACTTTCCCCATTTCTGTTTAACTTCATCATAGATATGCTAATGGAAGTATCCTTAACTGAACGTAGTGACTTAGGAATCGACTTGTTACCAGGGAATAATCTAATGGACTTAGAATATGCAGATGACATAGTCCTGTTAGGGGAGGATGCTGACAAAATGCAGAGTCTTCTGAACACCTTGAGCAGCAATCTTCGTATGTTTGGCATGCGATTCGCCCCTGCAAAATGTAAGATGCTGCTACAGGACTGGACCACGTCAACCCTTAACTTAGTGATAGGGAGTGAAGTGATAGAACATGTTGACCACTTCACCTACTTGGGAAGTTGTATTAGCACCAACGGACTGATTGGCGATGAAATCTCAGCACGGATCCGAAAAGCTCGAGCTGCTTTCGCTGACTTACACCATCTCTGGCGTAGGCGTGACATCCGGTTATCAACCAAGGGACGTGTGTACTGCTCATCAGTTCGCTCCGTCCTTCTCTATGGCTCTGAAACATGGCCAATACGCGTTGAAGACATGAAAAGGTTGACTGCTTTCGATCATAGATGTCTGCGATCTCTGTCTCACGTTAGGTGGTTTAACAAGGTAAGTAATGTTGACGTTAGGCGTAGAGTGTTGGGCAAAGAGGGAAAATCAATCGACGAGGTTATAAAGTTACATAGACTAAGATGGCTAGGTCACGTGGTGCGCATGCCTAACCACCGCCTCCCCCGACGGGCATTGTTAGCTGATATAGGTTCAGGTTGGAAAAGAGCCAGTGGTGGCCAAACAAAAACATGGCATCAATCCATGAAATCCTTGACAGTTAAACTGAGTCAGGTAGGGAGATGCAGACTCCCGGGTTGGGGCCCTCGGGACTCTAGGAATCAATGGCTGGAGACAATAGGTGACATGGCTCAAAATCGTTGTCAATGGCGCAGATGTATTCAGTCTCTGTAATCTTTCATATTCCTTTCTACCATTACCCATTCTGTTTCACTCTTATACTTGTCAAACTCTATTGATTCTCTTCACTCATCTTCTTGTCTACCTCTGTGTGCTATTTGGAACGTGGCAACTCGAACTGCTGCACTTCGGTGCCAAGTTCTATGTTGAATCCAGACAGACAGACTGCGTCCACTAAAAACGATGGAAGCCAAAAAACCACCACCGACAGCCTCTTAAAGCCGCGCCACCAATTTCATATAGGAGCATTTAATGTTAGGACACTTTACCAAATAGGACAACAAGCATCACTAGCCAAGACCCTGGCATCTCGAGCCATTGATGTATGTTGTGTTTCAGAAACACGCATACAAGACCCAAGTGTGGTTATTCACC